ATTCCCAGACACAACCTCCTCCCAGTGAACTGTTTGGGATTGTGCCACTGCCAGCAGGAAGGACTGGGACTGAGGGGAGGATAAGGCACATTTAGGGAGAACTTTCTGCCTTAAAGCCATAACCCACTGCTCCAACAGGATTTGGGTTTGCAGCAACTCTGGGAAAGTCATTCGAAATGCTCTCCCCACGGAGGTTCTCAGCCTCCCAGGTTTACAGAACCAGGGAACGGCCTGGGTTGGAACAGATGTTAAAGCTCAAATTGTTCCACCCCCTGCCATGGGCAGGGACACCTTCCACTAGCCCAGGTTGCTCCAAGCCCCCCCCCAACCTGGCCTTGGACACTTCCAGGGATGAGGCAGCCACAGCTTCTCTGGGCAACCTGTGCCAGGGCCTCCCCAGCCTCACAGGGAAGCATTTCTCCCTGATATCCCATCTAACCCTGCCCTCTGGCAGTGGGAAGCCATTGCCCTTGTCCTGTCCCTCCATGCCATTTTAAATAGTCTCTCTCCATCTTCCTGTTGGCTCCTTCAGGTCCTGGAAGGCTGCAGTGAGTCACCCCAAAGACTTCTCCTCTCCAGGCTGAACACTCCCAGTTCTTTCAGCCTTTCCTCACAGCAGGGCTGCTCCATCCCCTCTGATCATCTTGGTGCCTCCTCTGGACCTGCTCCAGCAGCTCTGCAGGTGGGGTCTCACCTGAGCAGGGAATGGGGAAGAGTCCCCCCCTCACCTGCTGCCCACCCTGTGGGATCAGCCCAGCACATGGGAGGTCTCTGGGTGCCAGTGCACATGGAGGGGGCATGTCCAGTATCTCATTCCCAAGTCCTCCTCCTCCTCCTCCCCATCTGCAATCAATCCCTTCATTCTCCAGCCTCAATAGATCCTGGGGTTTGCCACAACCAAGGTGTAACACTTTGAGCTTGGTCTTATTAAACCTCATACCAAGACTGTTTGCATTATGATCACCCATCCCCTGACAAGCCTCAGGTCACTGAGAAGGCAGCACAGAGAGGGGCAGGATGAGGGATGACCCAAGGAAGTGCCTACAAGCAGAAGTGGGCTGAGGTCACACCTACTCACTCATTTGTGACAAGTCAGGGACACAGGGATTGCAGCACTAACCCATGGATAACAGCCCCAGCCCCCTGCCAAACACAGAGTGCAGGAAACGCCCTAAAGACCCCCTTTCCAAGTAAACACTAAAAGGAAGAGGCACCCCCAGCCCCACAGACGCTCCCACTCAGAGCACACAAAGCGCTGCCCCCAAACACACAGGGAGTAGCCCCCAATGCCTGCCAGGCCCCTCCAAAACCCACTGACAACAATGAAGCCCCCTGTAAACCCCCCAGGCCCCTCCTCCACGTCTCCTGTGACCCCCAGACCCCTTCTCGGCCCCACAGCCCCTTCCAAAGCCCACTCACAACAGTGAAGTCCCCTGTGACCCCCAGCCCCCTCTCAGCCCCACACCCCCCTCCGTGTCCTCTGTGACCCCCTAGACAACGACCCGGCGCCCCGGGCCCCTCTGAAGCCCCTTGACAACAATAAAGCCCCTTGTGACCGCCTCAGACAACCCCTCAGCCTCCTCCTCCGTGTCCTCCGTGATACCCGCACCCCCCTCAGCCCTACAACCCCCTCCGTGCCCCCCGCGGCCACACAGCCCCCTCCAAAACCCCTTCACAACGATGACGCCCCAATGACCCCCCCTCATCGGCCCCGTACCCCCCTCCAACTCCTCTGTGACCCCCCAACCCTCCCCGTGTCCCCTGGGATCTCCAGATTCCCCCTCAGCCCCGCACCTTCCTCCATCCCCACCGGGCAAGGCAGGCCCCCCCGTCCCCAACCCCACAGCACACCACAGACGCCCCCGGGCCCATAACCGCTCGCAAAGCACACAGAGGGCCGTCAAGGCCCCTAAAGGCTCTGAACGAGCCGGGAAAGGGCCCCCCAAAGCCTCCCGAGGGTCCCTGACCCTTCGCCCCCGCTCGAGGCCTCACTCACCGCGTCCCCGCCGCGGCCGCTCCCTTAGGCGGGCGGTGGGCGGGGCCCCGCCACTGAGCCCCGCCCACCACCCACGCCGACAGGCGATTGGGCTTCGCTACGTGATTGACATTACCAGACTGGCCAATGGGAAGCGAGGGAGGGGGAAGGGGCGGGGCGTGAGGGGCCGGCGTGTGGAGTCCTCCCAGTCTGTCCCAGTGTCCTCCCGGTACGGCCCAGCGTGCCTTTTGTCCCTAAAAAGTGCCTCCCAGTCCTTCCTAGTCCCATCCAATCCCCGCCAAGGCTATCCAAGTCGCCTCTCAATGGCTCCCAGTCTCCTCCCAGTCCATCCCAGTATATCCCAGTCTAGTCCAGTGGTCCCAGTGGCTCCCAGTGCCCCTTTTGTCCCTCCCAGTCCCACCCAATCTATCCCAGTGCCTCCCAGTCCATTCCAAGTGCCCCTTTTGTCCCTCCCAGTCCTTCTCATTCTCATCCAATTCCCTCCAGCTCTATCCCAGTCTATCCCCAGTGCTCCCCAGTCGCCCCCAGACCCCTCCCAACCCCCCGTTTTCTTCCTAAAAGTGCCCTTTTTGTCCCTCCCAGCCCCATCCAATCTCGTCCCAGCCCCTCCTAGCCTATCCCAGTTACCTGTACACCTCCACTACGCGTGCCTACGCTCCATACCCAAGGTGTGCGGGCGGCCAGGTGCGCACCTTGCACCTGTGCGCCCACCTCCCGCTGCTCCCACACCCTTCCCCGGCCCCCCGCCCCGCCCGGCGGAGAGAAACGACGAACCCTGGTATTCCAGAGGGTCCCGGGATCCCCCCCTCCTCCAGCCGCGTGTCCGCGCTCCAGCGGCATCCAGGGAGATCTCCTGGACGGCATCCCCGGGAGAAGAGGATTCCCCGGGAGTTGCGGGACCCCGCGGACGGAACGGGGTGCCCCGGGCGGATCGGGATGCCCTGGAAGGATGGGGATGCCCTGGAAGGATGGGGATGCCCCGGGCGAAGTGCGATTTCCCCAGGAGCAGCGGGAGGAGATTTCGGGTCCACGGCCCCGGGAGGGGCGGAGTGGTGTAGGGGGGGAAGGTGGGTGAACGCCACGGCCCCGGGCGCTGCCCCCCGTTGCTCTCCTGCCTCCCGGGGCCCCGGCTCGTTTCGATTTCGTTTCTCGCCACGATCGCGCCGAAGCCGCAGCGGGGCCGGGGCCTGACCGTGCCGGACAGCGGGGGCTCCGGGTCGCACCGGGGCGGGGAGCGGCCGCTCATCGCCACCGGGGATGCAGGTAGGAACCGGCAATCCCTTGCCCGGGCCCTCATCCTCCCTCCTCCCGGTCCCCCCGGGCTTTCTCCCCCTCCATTCGAGGTGGAAGCTCATACCCCTGCTGAAAGGTGACCCCACCCAGCCCACCTCCAAATGGCCTCACAGGGCCCGGAGCAGCCGTGGGGCTTGGTCCCCCAACATTTGGGGCTGAGCCAAAAGCTCCTCTCGCACGTTTGGGGGTTCCTTGTCACCCTCCTTTTTCTGGTTTTCCCGCTCCAACCCCTCCAAAGGACAGTGTTTCCTCCTGAAGCAAAGAAAAACTGTCTTGGAAACGTGTGGAAGCAGATAAGTGGGGATAGAAGCGAGAATATAAAATCAGGATAAAGTAATAAAAATTCAGAAGGTGTCTCGTGGCCTAGGAAATCTTTAGGAGCAAGAAAAATACCATATTTTTCCTGGTTTTACTGTAAATCTTGTTGTAGGAGAGTTGCACTGATGGGAGAACAAAATAACTTTTAGATGGTTCTAGGCAAAATACACTGCTCATTTCTTTCACTTTTATTTTCCCTGTAGCTTATTGCTTAAAATGAATCTGAAAGACAGTTTGCATTGCTGCCAAGCCTGCTCAGAGTTTATTCTGGAGTCCCACTGGTTTCCTTGTGCAGTGTCATGGAGCTGAGTGCTTTGCAGAGACAACCAGCAGCCACCAAATTGTCTTTCTGCTGAGGAAAAGCCCTCACCAACCTGCTGCTACTCCCAGGGAAGCACTTCTCCCTGGAGGGATGCAGTGCATTCCTCCTGTCTCCCATTCTCCTGGTTTTGGGAACATCAGCTTTGCATTTAAGATGTTTCCAACCTCCACCACTGTGATATTCTTCACCTCTGATTTTCGGGGCACTCAGCTTGTCTACCCAGCACACACAGTCGAGGGGTGGCTGTTTTAACCACCTCCAAAAACCTGCCTGAGCCTGAAGTGCTCAGAGTTGGCAACTGCTTTAGAAAATACCATTTGCCAACAAAATTGTTGGGTTTTCCATGGGTGAAGCTGAGAAATTGCTGGGATTCACACTAATAGATTTTTAAGGGGAAACATTATCTGCTTGGCTGCCAGTAATATTCCAGATCTAAATGGGGTTGGAAGCAGGATCTGAGCTCCCTTGTGCTCATGAGCTGTGGCTGAGAAGAAAAATAATCGTTGAGAGGCTGGAGCTTAATGGGTGGTCAACAAGAGGGGTGGGATGGCCATTTCCCCTCATGCCCAAATGATCACTGGGGATAAAGCTGGAGATCTCTCTTCATACAGTGTTTTAAAGACAAAATCAAAGCACTATTGCCAGCTTGATTTCTCAACTCTAAATGATTGAAATGCTGTCCTAAAACCCCAGACATCCAACGAGAATCTGAGGTTCCTGTAGGAACTGGGAGCACAGGCACTGTCAATCTTTGGCTCCATCTCCTGCTTCCCTGCAGCCCATGGGGCAGTGGGGATGGATAACCTCCTTCCAGAGCCTGAAGGAGGGCAGGTTCCTCTGCTGAAGACAAGAGCTGAAGTAAGAGAGGGGAATCTGTGGCTACTAACACTGAGCTGGGCAAACAGAGACTCATCTTGGGGCTGGGACGATGTCTGGAAGAGCTGCAGACAGCACAACACGCTGCTATGAGAAAACAGCTGGAAAATATTGGAGCAGGCATCTCCAAAGCAAAGGCAGGACCAGAGCTGGGAATTGACCCCACTGATGCATCTGATCTTTTTTCCCCAGGGCAAAGTGGCCATCAGCTCTTCCAGCCCTGCTGTGGCAGCTTCGTTACCATCCCCATCCCAGGCCAGACAGCCACTCGTCAGCACTGGGGACATCTTCAAGCTTCCAGGCAGGCTGAGTGAGTAAAGGTTGAGCAAGACAAAGCTGCTTACAAAAGGACAGGGTGGGATATGGTGGGTGCAGCCCTAGTGTCCCACCCAGGGACCATTCCCTGCTGGCAAGAGGGATAAAGTGTCATCAGGGTTCATTTTCTCTCTGTGGGGTGTTTTTGATCCATGAGTGCTTAAGACAGAGGGAGAATTTGGTGGTGGAGAAGAAATGTCACCCTGCCCCTCAGGAGTTTTGAGGATGAAGATAGAGCTGTTTCAGAGGTTGCTCCTGGTTTCAGGAATCCAGCCCTCACTGTGGAGCAAGGATGACGTGATCCACTGGCTCAGATGGGCTGAGAGGGAATATTCCCTTCGGCAAACCGACGAAAGCAAGTTCGAAATGAACGGCAAAGCCCTGTGCATCCTCACCAAGGAGGACTTCAGACACAGAGCTCCCAGCTCAGGTTAGACCCAGGGCAAGGGGGTTTCAAGGAGCATCCAAGCACAACCTGAGAGGGGCTGGATGGGTCCCAGCAGACCAGGCTTTAGCACTTTGGTGCTGGAGACAAGGACAACCCTCTTCCTTCCTTTACTCCACCTGCACTGCAAATGGTTTGGGGTGGGGAATAACCTTGTTATTATGTTATGTTATAACCTCAGCAGCATCACTGTGAGAGAGGCTGTTATCCAAAGTCCTCTGAGCAGAGTTTCCTTCCCTGCAGGTGATGTGCTGTATGAAATACTCTGCTTCATCAAGACTCAAAGAAGAGCTCTGATGTGCAGCCCTTTGCTGAACTCATCCTTTGGGAAGCCCAGGAGCACGGAGGAAGGTAGGATGGAGAACAGCAGCTGCCCAGCAAGCAGAACCTGCCCACAGCTCCAGTGGGTTGCACACATCTGGGGTTTGGAGCTGAACCCATCCCACACCACCTGAGAGAGGCAGCCAGGTCCAACAAACTCCAGCTGGGAAGGTTGTAGTGATGAAGCAGGTCTGGTCAGAATCAGACCCAAGCAGCACCAGAGGGGGGGCCCAGGTAGGGGTTGGGGTGGGGAGAGGTTGGTATCTGTGGCTGGCTGTGTGTGGAGGTGGATCCTGAGCACTTCTGATGGCTTGTGTAAAGTAATAATAATATAATATATAATAATAATGGGCTCTACCAGGCTGATAACCACCCTGGGCTGCCCCTCCCCTCCTGTTTCAGTGCTTTGGAAGATCTGGGACCTGACCTGATGTGCCACAGAGTGTTTATTTGTTTGTTTTTTTTTTTAAATTATTGTTATTATTTCCAGGGACAGACTGCAGTGCTGAGTCTGCCCCAGTTGTTGTTCCCTCGTGGCTGGGCTGTGCAGAGCAGCCTGTGTTCCACAGCCACGTGGAGCCACTGAACCTGTCCCATCACAGCTCAGAGAGTGGCTGCAGGGCAGGTGCCATCTGCTCCTTGCCCACAACCCCGTCGGCCCCACTGGATGGGAAAATGGCAGGTAATTATGAATTTATAACCTGGCTCCTTGGGGAAATGACAGGTGCTTTGTCCTGTCTGCCCAGCTGTCTCTCTCCCTCCCCTTTATTTCGTGCTTCCCCACCTCAGTTTCCCCTCCCCCAAAAAACTGTAGTTCAGGCTTGTGCTTTGAGATCTCGCAGTAAAAGTGCTCTGGGCACTTCTTACATTTATTGTCACTGCTGCCACGTGCAATCCTGTTGCTGATACACCCTTGCTGGGTTCACAGTGGGAGCTCTGTGACCATTTCCCCCCCCACACTGCTCAGACTGCAGGTTGCTGTGGGAATACGTGTACCAGCTCCTCTCCGACAGCCGCTACGAGCCCTACATCAGGTGGGAGGACAAGGAAGCCAAGGTCTTCCGGGTGGTTAACCCAAATGGACTTGCCCAGCTCTGGGGGAACCACAAGGTAAATGCAGTTGAGAACAAATTTGTCACCCCTGGGCTTCTGCAGGTCCCTTTGTGTGTCCCCAGGGCTGATGGCACAGGCGCGGGGAAGGGGGGCCACGGTGGGTGCTGAGATGCCAAGCTGGTGGTGAAGGAGGGACTTTCTCATCCCCTGGAAAGCAAAATGATGACTGTGAAGCCATTCTGGGTTAGAAACCTACACTGGAACCACCTAGAATGTCCCAAGTGTGGCCCTGCTGCAGACAGACCCAAACCAGGTGTTGGCAATTGCTTCGACTCAACATCCCACAATTCTTCCCCTTTCCAGAACCGGATGAACATGACCTATGAGAAGATGTCACGAGCACTCAGACATTACTACAAACTCAACATCATCAAAAAGGAGCCAGGGCAGAAGCTGCTGTTTAGGTGAGATGAAGCAGAACAGAGAAATGAACCCGGATCCCATCTGATGGTGCTTCCTGGGTTCCAAAAGCAAGAGCTGGGATCCTCAGCAATGCCCAAGGGTGGCTGATCCCCTCTGGTGAGCTCCAGAGCTCAGCTGATCATGGCTTGGAAGGGACCTTAAAGCTCATCTCCCCTGCCTTGGGCAGGGACATCTTCCACTAGACCAGATTGCTCCAAGCCCCATCCAACCTGGCCTTGTTGAGGGTCAAGGCTCCAGTATTTACAGCCTGGTTTGGGGCTGGGTTTGGACATGGCCCTGAAGTCATGACAAAAATGTATTGCAGGTTTTTGAAGACTCCTGGGGAGATTGTCCATGAGAAATCCAGCAAACTGGAGCAGCTGGAAAATGAGGACCATGAAGATTCCGAAGACCCGCTGGAGGTTTCACTGTAGAAAATCTTTGGAGGTGCATCACAGACAGACTTGTGCTCTGCTGGGAAGTGCTGGTGTCTCTTGCATCTCTTGGACAGAAGGCCACAGAGCTGGCCCTGGATTTCAAAACCTGCCCTGAGCCAAAGCTGGGACATCTCTGGGGCTTCATTAGCAAAACACACCCAGAAACCACCCCCCGGCCCCAAAAGTGCACGTGAATGTGTGTGGACTGGTCTTCTGCTTGTTTCTCTCCTGCCCTCTGGGAGAGAATGTGATATTTTTGCTCTGAAAATTGTGGTGCTTGTCTCTTTAGGGCTCAAACTTGCTGGTAGAGATCCCTGTGTTCTCACAGCGAGATGTGCTGAGCGGACCAGAACGTGTGCTCTGGGTTGAGCATCTTTTTTGCAGTGAGTGGTGTCCCTGAGTGCTGCTCTGAATCTGAGCCATTTCCCTGACTTGTAAATGGACTTGTATTGCAGAAATGGTGCCCATTGGAATCTCAGTGGCTCCTCTGTGACTAAGGGTGGGAGTGTGGTGAAGTATCCACCTGGATCAGGCCTGGCTGAAGCTCCAGGCTTGCCCTGAGCTGATTCTCACTTTAACTCCTTTCCCTCTGGGTAATGCTTTTTGTAATTAGCTGATTAAATAATGTGAAAAGAAACAAAAAAAAAAAGTATTATTTGCTTTGAGTTTGAAGCAGGAATACCTGGAGGGAACAGAGTGTGTTTGTGTGCGTGTTGGAAAACAGAAAATACCCACTAATATTTTCACATTGCTTTTCATTGAGGAAATAAAATCCTGTGACTGTGTAAACTTGAAAATCCCACTTACTTGCTGGTTAAAGGTCTGAAACTGGGAAATTCCAGCTTTCCTCATTTAAAACCAGTTCCTGTCCCCAGGACAAAGGTCTTTGGCAGCTCCTACACCAGAGTGCACCAGTCTGAGCTGCTCAGGAGCTGATGGGTGAACACAGCACAGACCTGGGGGGTTTTGCACCATGAGGTTTCCACCAAAACTGGTTGTTTCCAACCTGAAATTACAGTTCCTTTTTGCTGTAACTGGTGTTGCTCCTCCAAAACTACTTTACAACTGGAGTCTGGAGACGGTGGTGGGATGGGTGGTGGCTGATTGGCAAAGTTTCAGCAGTACCACAACTCTGGAAACGCCGCCTGAGAAGTTTCACTTCCACAAAAAATCACCAGCTCGCTGGCAAAACAGAGGTGCTTGATAATTCAAGTGAGGGAGGAGAAGGAAAGGAGAAGCTCTGATGGGGTAAATAAGCTTAAAATCACAGCCTGTGGGAGATCCTGGCCAGGAAGGGAGGCCAAAATCCCTGCTAGGAGAGGGGCTGGAGGTTACCCAGCACCCACCAAGCTGCAGCCTGGGGCTGCACCACACCGGGAAGGTGAAGTGAAGCAGCCAGAACTCATCTTTCCTCTCACAAAGGGGGCTTTTTGTGGCAGGGAAGATTAAAACCAGATCTTTCTTGGGATAAAATCCATCAGAATAAGTGTAAATCCCCTCTAGCCCTGAGGGACACCTTCGGTGGGACAGCAGACTTCCTTCCTCGGCAACTCTCCCACCCCAGCCCTGTGGCACTTCTGGAATGCACACCCAGGGGTGCATTTTTCGTGACCTTCTCTTTAACCAGACATCCCTACACTTCCTTGCTATGGAAACAGCCCTGATGGTTATGGAGTATTCCATTGCTTCTCCAACCTGTGTGCATGTTTTGTTGGAGCAGGTGACAGTTGGTGACCCTGGTCCTTGTGATAACACCTTCCGCTTGTTTTCCCTGCCATGACTAAAGATCACTCTGGACTTGGACGGGGATTTCCTCTCCTGCCTGGGAAGCTGCCAAAACCCCTCAACCTTCCTTGATCTTGGGGGGTGAAAATCCAAAGGTTCCAGGCTTGCTTTCCTGGAAAAAAAGGGCCTGTTGTTCGCTCGCAGGAGCCCTGCACTGAAATTGCCAACCCGACTCCCAAATTTCAATCTGGATGAAGATTCCTGCCAGGCAAAAAGTGCCAGGACAGAAAACTCTTGCTGATTATGGAGTGCCAAGAGTGGCACACCACAGCTGCACTTGAGAGACAGACAGTAAGGGTTTTCTTTCCTGGGGGGAAGGTGTGAGATCCTGGATCGGAATCTCGCTGAATTATCGATATGGGTCGGAATCAACTCACTCTGTGTGTGTGGGGGTGTGTGTGTGGATGTGGGGAAGGGCTGGGAACATGGCAAGGCCTGTGCTGAGGGCACAGGGCAGAGCTGAAGGCCTGGAGCTGGGCTGTCAGTCAAGGCAGACCTGCCTGGTAGCCCAACCACACCACGCCACAGCAGACTGGAGGTGGCCAAACTGCTGGAGTGGATGTGGCTTTTTATTTTATGGAAAAAACCCCAACCAAATTGATTGTGAAAGTCCCTTTCCTTCCCTGGAATCGACCTGCTAATGGAAGGATGTGGCTGTGTGCTGGGGAGCAGCACAGAGCTCCTCACGGAGGATTTAATTATTTATCAATAAATGGAGATGCTGAAAAACCGAGCCAGGAAATTCCTGATCAATACTAGACTCTGATTCATCAGTGTGGGCTCAGGAGGGACCGAGGGATGTGGACTGGATCTCTCCCAGTCACAGGAAATTATGGCCCAAAGAGTTTACAGAAAGGAAGAAAATAATCCCGGGCTGTTCTGATTGCAAACTGAATCCATTATCGGGAAAAGACCGTTTGTATCCAGGGGAAACCTTGGCTGCGCATCATCCCACCCGAAAACCAGGGACAACGCGTCGCTGCTCGGCTGGAAATCTTCCCGAGGGGTTTTCCAGGAGGGGTTTTTCCAAAGCCTGAGTCCCGCCAGCTCGCCAAAAGCATCCGGCTCCATCCCTGCGAGGTGCAGTGCGGGATTTTTGCCATCAGGTGGCAAAATTGCGATGGGGAATGTGGGAAGCACCTGCCGGAGGGTGTCACAGTGGGCACAGGGGTGGCCCTGGGGCCAAGAGGAGCTTTGGTGTGAGAAAGGTTTGATCTTAAGGCAGGATTTTCTGGGCTCAGGGGCGGTTTGTAGGTGTCGGGATGTGCCTGGTGGGAGCCACGGGGGTGTGAAGGATTCAGGTCATGAGCTGGTGCTGATTCATGTTTTAGGGTGGGAGCACGGGCTGTCTGAGGGACCCCAGGGTGGGTTTTGAGGGTTTCAGCCCAGCCATGCCCAGTGTTAATAACACCAAATTTGTGGGTTTGATCCCTCTATGGATCATTCACTTAAGAATGGGACTCAATGATCCTTGTGGGGTCCTTCCAACTCAGAATATTCTGTGATTCTGATTCTGTCTCTCAACAACCTGAGAGCACCGTGTCCCAGAGTGTCTGTGGTCTCACAACAGCCTCTGGGAACTCCTGGGACACGAGCAGGGCAATCTGCTTCCTGCTTTTGTCTGAGAAAGTTATGACTTCCCTTTACAAAAACAACCCAGAAAAACCCATATAAGGCACCACACACAGAGTGAAAAACAACAAAACAAACCAAGCCCAAAGCCAAGTGGCTGCCTGAGATAGCTGGTCTCAAAGGCCAGCTCGTACACACCAGGTGACAGGTGATTTTTATGCTGTTTTGCTGCTGCTTGTCACAAGGAAATTGTTTTCTCCTCCAGTGAAACTCACACTCATTGGTTTCCGCCACGAGGGCGGTGATAACGGGCACCCCAGGCGGAAGCATCGGCCGCTCTCCTACCTGAATGGCTGCTAAAAATAGGAATTACCTCAGCCAGCCACCGGCTTGGGCATAAAAAGGCAGCTCCCAGGAGAGCCTGAGAAGAACCCTCAGCACCCGTGGCCGAGGAGCTTGTCTTCACCTCTGTCCCAACAGGCAGAGATACTGATGGAAAGGTAAAAACCAAACCAGCAAATAAAGAATGGTGTGGCCAATGCACTGGAATCATCAGAGTAGGACGGGGGTTGTGGCTTTAGTGTGATTAAATTCAGTGGAATGACTTGTTGTCGGGTGGTTGGTGGGGTTTGGTGTTGGCTTGGATGAAGGAAACTTGTCTTCTTGATCCCCAGAACCGGCCAAGGTGGGGTGGGTGGGTGGTTGTGCTGGGCACTGTGATGATGTTCACCGAGTCTGAGGGGAGGCTGATGCCCAACTCCAGGGTGGTTTGTACAGCCCAGCTTGCCAGGTTTCTGTGCTTGCTCCCTCTGTGCTGTTCAGTGGTGGAGGAAGTCTGCTTTGGGTCTGGTTCTTTGAAGGGTGAAATTGGTTTCAAAGATAAAACCGACACAAGGCACCGTCACGGCTTCCTGGTTTTCCAATAGCAACGTTCCTGTTTCAATTTGCTTGCAAATACAGAGAAAAAGGGCAATGGGAAAGGAAGGGAGAGGGTGGTCAGAGCTCTGTTCACAGCCCTGTGCTGGTGGAAGCTCAGAGGGAGTTTGTCACTGAGGAGATTTACAAGAGCCCATGTTTCCCTTGACTTCTCCAGCCTTATTGAGGGATGATTTTTTTTTAGCAGCCAAAATTTTAAGGGGAAATACTCAAAAATCTGGGTTGTGTCATTCACAGTGTGCTCCTGGGGTGTCATTTTTCATCCTAATGTGGGAACACGTTGCGATGGATGATAGGAGGGTGTCTGGGTGATATCCTTGCTGGGTGAAACCCCCTGGATGATG